GGGCTACATGAGGCCTCTCAGTCCTGGGGCTGAAGAGGCCGGAGAGTACAAGAGCCGGCAGACTTCAGTCAGAAACCTTCCCGAGCTCGGCCAGCGGGCGGAGTCCCCAGTGCCCCACTCTGCCAAGCAGCAGCCCCCCAAGGTCCCTCCCCTGACGGTGCCAGCAAGGCGGGGGCTGAGAGCCCCCAAGGAGGTGGGCAATGATGCAAGTATGGGCCTGGCACTAGCCCCCGGGACGAGAGCCCTGCCTGGAGTGGTTCTGGCTGGGTGGGCACCAGCCATCCCTCTGCTTCCTCTCCTTACTGTCACTGGTCCCTCACCCCCAGGAAGAGGTGGGCAAAGGTGCTCTATGTCCCACACGCCCCAGCTCACCCTCAGGCCTGGGCCTTTCTCTCATGCCTCCTGAGCACCCCAAAACAGGAGAGGTTTCTGGTCATGGGCTTGGAGAGGCGAGCTGCCACATACCTGGTGCAGCCAGGCCACGCTAGCGGAGCAGGCCAGAGCTGGCCAGAGAGGCACTGGCTCAACCAGCCCTGGAAGTTACGGCCTCGTCTTGTCCTGAGAGAGGATGCCTTGGCAAAAACCGGAGGGACCCAGTGGCATCTCTCTCTCTCCTCCCAGAGAAGGGTGTGAGAGTAAAGAAATTGGGCTGGGAGGGGTGGGGAGCCCCAGGGGGCTCAGGTTAGCATGCCCAAAGTCCAACACTGTGCTTAGCCCATCGTCACCCATGGCTGACCCTGGACCAAAGCTCCCTCGAGCTTGCACATGACAGGCACAAGCTCCAGATAGGGACTGAGGCATGACACCCAGAGCAGGGGGCCATCGGGGGCCACAGGGAGTGTGCCAGGCAGGGGCCCCTAGAAGAACCTCAGAGTGATGCCTCGGGACAAAGGCATGCCACCGTGAAGTCACCACCTCCCTGAGCTCGGCCAGCGGGCGGAGTCCCCAGTGCCCCACCCTACCAAGCTGCAGCCCCCCAAGTTCCCTCCCCCTGACAACGCCAGCAAGGCGGGGGCTGAGAGCCACTGCCCAGCAGAGGCCCCCACTCCCTTCCTCCCTCATGAGCCACCAGGGAGCGATGGGCGAGACCTGACGAACTTGCTCCACAGGCCAAGGGCGGTGAGCGGGCGGCCTCGAGAGTGAAGAGCGCGGTGCCGCCCCAGGGAACTCCAGGCGCTCTCTCTGCCTGGCACAGGCTGGCGGGCGCCCGGCACACCATGGCAGCCCCCAGCTTCGTGCAGGAGCTGCACGCCGTGGGCGAGAGGCTGCTGCTTAAGCTGCAGAGGCTGCCGCAGGCGGAGCCCGTCGAGATCGCCGCGTTCTCCGTCCTCCTCCTCTTCGCGGGTGAGTCGGGCATGCCCGTCAGGGGACTGGGAGTCCCCAGACAGAGGGGGGCAGAGCACCAAGGAGAAGCAGAGAAAGGCCTTCCTCGGATCAGCTGGCAAGAGGGCCAGGCTAACGGGGAACGGGGCTCCATCCCTGCTGCTCAGGTGATGGGTGGGGGGCCCGGGGACAGCAGCTGTCCGGCACTCCCATCCCGGGACCAAACACAGCTCTGGGCAGAGAGCCCACAGGGTCAAGGCCAGCACCTGGTGGCAGGTACAGGGATGGATGATGACTCCTCTCGGGCTCCTGGGGCTTCTGGCCACTACACAGGCCTTTGAACAGCCCTGCCACGCTTCTAGAGGGGCTTCCTCCAAAGTTGGGGTTTCTCCCCCTCCCCTCCTTTCTGAGCTTGTGCTGTCGTCCCCCCCCCCCCACTCCAGCCACTGTCCTGCTGTTACTGCTCATCGCCTGCAGCTGCTGCTGCGCCCACTGCTGCTGCCCTGAGCAGCGCGGCAGGAAGGTCCAAGTGCGGCCCGTGACCCCATCGTGAGAGATGGCCGGACGACCAAGGAGAAGCTGGAGGAGGCTGCTGCAGCCTGGGCCTCAGCCTCAACACAGGTGACCCGCCGCCCTGCAACCCTCAGCCCAGGATAAAGAGCCACTGGCCCAGCTCTGGGCCTGTGCTGGAACCTGGACACTGGAGGCTTCTAAGGACACAGGACTGGTCCAGGCACAAACATGTCGGTTCCCAGTGGACAGCAGGTGCCGAGGAGGTGGCAGCGACTGTCTCCAAGACTGAGTAAACCACCCTGAGTTCTTTGCCTACCTGCACTTTCTGGCGAAACAGGGAAGCAGGGCCCCATCTCTTGATGTAAAAGGGCCTGTGCCTGTGGGGAGCTGGCCCCGGGGTTCTGCCAAAGAACTAGCGCAAACCAATCAGAGGGGCTTTGTGCAAAAGCTACTGGATGCCAAGACCCCTGCGGGGTGGGGACTGTCAGTATTTTCCAGTACGTGCCTGTTTCTTTGCGAGTGAAAGTGTCTGGGGTACGTGACTGCACGGTGCCGGACTCCTTGCAGGCTGGGCTGGGCTCTGGGTATGGGAGGGCAGCATGCCAGGCCTCCAGGGTGGGAGCAGGGACTGGTCTTCCCAGACCCCTGTGCAACCTGTGCCCATGAAAGTTGGAAAAGACGTAGGCAGGAGTGACATGGAGGGACAGGAAGGAATGCCTTGGAATGGGGGGAGGGAAGTCCCCATTGTGTGAGGGCTGCCAAGGCACTCTGGCTCCTAGATGTCCGCTCTGCAGCGCCGGGCTGCTTACCCGGGGTGGGGGCCAGGCTCAGGAGCCAATGACCTTCCCCTGCCATGCACTTTCCCCACAGGCCCACACCAGCAGGCTCAGGTCACCAGGTCCCCCAGACTTCTGAAGTAAGAGAGGTACAGCCCCTAGTATTGTCTATAACCTGCACCCCTCACCCTCACCCGTGTAACACCTGTTCACAGATCCAACCGTCAGGGTCCAAATCCTTGCCCTGCCACTAATCAGCCATGTAAATGCAGGTCAGTGGTATCATCCCCCCCCATATCCTCCCTGTGAAACGCCCAGCTCCCTCCAAGGGCACACTTGTCTGCGTACGCTGAGATGACCCATGCCAGGCACGCAGCATGTCCTGGGCATACTGGTAGGGCTGGTAAGTATAAGCCACCATTAAACCCACCCCTCTAAGGGGGGCACCAGCCCAGAGCAACATGGTCCTCATTCCAAGGACTGGTCCTGCTGAGATGCATCACCTCTCCTGACCCCCTCAGCTGAGGTGGCTTTGTCTTCAGAAAACTCTGCAGGTGGAATGACAAACCCAGGAATGAGGGAAGGGGGCATGACAGAGCATCCATGGTGCTCCCTTCCTGTCCCCACGGGTCCCCCCGAGCCATAGAGAATCTATTTTCTACCTGCTTCTGTCACCTTGGGCCTAGACTGTCGAGGGAGTAGAGTCCTGTCCATGTAGAAGACAGGGAGTGGGCAGGGACACCAGCCCTGCTCTCCCCAGCTGGTGACCAGGCTGTACCAGCAGGGGCAGGCTGGGCAGGAGACGCACGCTCACTGGCTAGTTTCACTTCCTGGTTTCCAGACTTGCCTGACAGGTTTGGAGTAAACACCCAGACAGGAAGTTTCCATACAAAATGTAAAAGGAAAATAAACTCAAGAATTTGCCTGTACCCTCCCTGCTACCAATGAGATCCATATTGATGATGGTGGTGATGATGAAGGGGGTGATGGTGATGGTAGTGATGGTGATGATGGTAGTGACAGTAGTGATGATGACGGTGCTGGTGGTGATGATG